TCGAACCGGCAACCTTCCGATTACAAGGCGAACTCCCAACTCTTGAGCCACAAACCCCCCACATCACTTACAATGCTGGTAATCAGGAAATTGTTGCGTTCGATAAGTTTAACACAAGCTTTCACCAGATCATAAATGTCAGCTGATTTTCCCTTGCAGACTCCAAATAAAAGGCCTTGATTAGATCTTTTGCTTCTGCGAGTCCGCTACGGTCCACTTGGCTCAAAGTGACTTAAATTTCATCATCAGACAGTGGGTGCGAAAGTCCATGTGGATGCCTGCATGTCGACCAATTTTTTGTGACACACAGGCTTGTCTGTTTGGTTGTCGGGTCTCTACTTGCTGACCGTGTCCGAGTATAATGAAAGCTAAATATGACATCTGCCTTTGCCAGGTGCCTTTGTTTATCTGTTGCATTAAGTGTTGTTTTCAAAAAAAGGGTGCAAAGATGATTTGATAAAGAGCTGGAATACTCTGGAGAAGTCCAACCCATGTTGGCTTTTTAAGACGGACACCGATAACTGATGATATTAAACATCCATTAGTGTCATAAATTGATTGATTGATGATATTTTTTTTCTTTCTGACGCTTGCACCATTAAATAATTGTATAAAATTTTGTTATGTGTAGTTATTTATTTACTAGTTGTGCCTGACTCAGATGAAACGTGTGCTGACAACAGGGAAATGTTCTCCTGTGGTCAACTCATGCGACATGTACAGTCCTAGCACGCTTCACGAGTGTTGCTCTCATCTCTACTTAGATTTTCATGAAATACACATAAAATACACATCAGCATTAAATATTAGTCAAATTTGTTTTCAAATATAAGTATCAGCACTTCTTTTAGTTAATATATTTGCATCTGAATTAAACGTGTGATACTCAGTTGATTTGAATTTGCTTATCTGTGTTTTCAGTGCATAATGATTCGTTTCAGACTTCTCAAAGGAATAATTAAGGTGAAAAGGCATAAAGCAACATGTAAAAGAAGCTTAAGGCATAGGCAAAACATTTACTCCTCAGTTGCTTTAGTAGTATCAAGCTCCTCTATGTTGGGGAGCCAAAGTTCACAGAGAGGTCAAGTTCCTGTGTTTTGTTTCCGCGCACCTCCTTTCATTCTTTTGGTCCCTTGCTCACATTTTGCCGTACCTGAGCTATACAAGTGCATCGAATAAAAAACAGAATGAGAAATAAACCCATTCACAGGGGTGAGAAAAGCGCTCTTTGTGTGAGCACGGTGATTACTGAGACTGACTTAGCGACTGCTAAATGCCATTCGGTTACTGTCGTGCTTAAAGGCTGCTGCTCCTCCCCTGACTCAGCACCTCATTTCCTCCTTCAAATAAATAGAATTAATGTTCTCAAATCAAATTTGGTCGGTTTCCGTGTAAAGCTTCCTGCATGGAAACATAACAGGAGGCGGCTCATCGCTTCTTAAGGTATCTTGAGACTCAGTCAGGGCGGCATCGAATGGCGTGGTTTTTTTTTTTTTTTGTACTTGTCATTCACATTTTTGTTTCCCTCTTGGCTGGAGACCTTTTCAACAGATGTCAGCTTAGTGCTGTGATTTAAAGCTGTGGATGCCTCAACATTGACTCTGCTAAGTCAAAGCACAGCTATGTATATGAAAAGAAATCAAAGAAATCAATAAAGCACATTGACTGGAGCATTAAATTCACACACAGATAGAAAGGTTTGCTCTAAAAAGGCCATTGATGGAAAATAAGCAGATGTGAAGTCTCGAATGCATTTCTGACTCGGTAGTTTGATCCTTTTACACATGAACTCCAAACGCTTTCACAAGTATTCATTCCTGAATTCAAGCATTATGTAAACCAGCAACATTTAAGTGGGCATGTTTAGTTTTGTCACGTTACTCCTTGATAAGAGTTGATGTCAGTAAGTTATGCTAAGACTTCCAGTCAGATGTTTATTAAATGCCTGTGCTGGCAACTGATTTTACTTTGCAGCACTGATGTTTAAAGAAAACCTCTCTCACTGTAACATCGTGCTCAGAGTAAACTGGGTCATTTAAGAAGTTTGATTTTGTTTGGTACGGCGTGTTCTCTCCTTAACGTGACTGTGGAGGTTTTAGTCGCATGCGGAAAATAGTTGACCTGCTCAAAATTCCCCAAATGATTGCACTAAATGCACTAAAGCAATAAAACATATGCAGACCAGCATCCGATGGAAGGTTTATGCCACAGCTGCCATTTTTACATTGCTGTAATATTTAATGCACCAATATCTCCAAGTTCTTTGAAATAAAATTATTTTTTTCAATGCTAAAATCTAATTATTGCTGTTATCCATGGATCCATGTACTGTTTTACAAGCAAAGAGCAGAAAAAAAATGTAAAGATCATTATTATTGTTATATTAGGATGACGTATTACATTTATTTACTTACATTCCTAAACAGAAGAATTAGTTTTAGTGGTTGAATGTTACACTTCATTAATTTCTGACTGACTCCAGTACGCTAGCTCAAATGTGGCTATAACAACATGACTTCAGTTTATTATTTGCGTAATAAATTAAATAAAATATCTAGTTTTACATTTTTTATTGAAAGATTTCTAAAATATTTAAAAAATCTAAGCCAAACTAAATTGTTAAACTGTATTTGTGTATTATAGTGAATAAAAAGTCCTTTCCATTAAGCGAGCTCTTTGTTTGATGGCTGTTGTACAGTGTAATTGTAAAAAAGTAAATAAAATTAATGCCTTAGAGTTAAAGAATAAATGGAAAGCCTCAGTAACTCTGGGAGAAATAAAGGAAACAGTGATTGGGGTTAGTCGGGATAACAAAGTGACATGTAATCATGCTTTCATATGATAATTAGAACATCTTTAAACAGTAAGTTAATTGGTGCAGCATAGCGAGCTTGTGTTTAGCTTATTGAGTCAAGCACTTTATAGCACCCATATACACTGTTCAGTGTTTATTTGTTGTAAATGAGCAGTATTTGCCCCCCCCATACTGCAGGCAAGGTAATTTAGAAAATAAAATTAGAATAATATATGCCTTACACACCTCATTTGTTTTAATTTGCAGCTTAAGGACTGACCTGACTATTTATAGCATGTAGTATGAAAAAGCGGTGATACAAGCTTTTTTTTTTCTCTTTAAGGTGGATTAGCTGTTATCTTAATAAACATGGGTGTTCTCAGCAGTGAGCAGAACCACTGTGAAGATTTTGCTAGCCACAACTGTGCACACCTGGACTGAGAGCGTGAAATCACAGTGCAAAGAAATATTTTTGCCACACAGCTGTGTTGGGGTTTTCTTTTCTTTTTTACTAGAAAGAAGGTAGAGCGAACTAAATGTTCATTAGGATTCATTTTGATACATTACAACTGTGCGCTGTGTCAAACATGATTCATGTCCTCGTTCATGTCATATTTTCCTGTCACTGTGACAGGAACTGAAAACAGCTGATGTCTAGGAGGTAGAAAGCAGGTGGCTGTCTCAAGCTTAATTCACAGTTTCATCGCACACAAACATGGCTCAATTTGTATTTAAATTTTTTGGGTACATGTCTCGCTGCTTCATAAATACGTTCCATGCAATCACATTAAATGAGGGCCTGAAAACTGCGGTTTGCTTGGCTGCCAGTCATCTGTGTAACCGTCTCACTGACACAACAAAGTCCTACACTGTGTGCCCCGACACAAACACTTTAATGCATATTAATGTTAACATCGTTGCTGCTCAAACACTGACATGCTAATGCTAGAAAATAGCTACACCCAAAGGCTTTAGTTTCCATTGATCAATTGTTTTTTGAAGTCTGAATGAGGGGAAAAAACATATTGGGTGGCTGGTTTTTTAAAATGATACTTATTATTATTTGGGTACTTTTTACAGCCCACACATTTACTTTGTTGTGGAGTCTTGTTGCTTTCATTAATCCTATTTTCAGCAAGCAGTAGGCAGCTGTTTTCAGGCAAATAATCTCTTAAAAACCCACAGTATATGACTTGCCCATCCCTAAATGAAGGATAAAGACAAAGATTAAAGTAAATATTGGCAGGGATTAGGGATGTCACGATACCACGATTTTAGTGGGTACCAATAATCAATTAAATGAATGCGTTTCAACTGGAAACCTTTTTATTTAAACAGGAATGCACGTGTGTTCTGACGCAGATCGAGGAATATGAATCAGGATTATTTATATTGTATTGAAATCAGCCAATCCTTTATATCAGACGCTACTGAAAAAGGTATCAGAAACGACTCCACACGGTTGTGCGTAAAAAAACCAGCTGTTTCGCTGCAGTGAGTTTTGTTTTTTTTTTCTTTGAACTTTTCTGTACAGCCACCTTTGTCCTCCTGGTCGCATGCCAGGTATATGTTTATCTGTCTCTTTGTTTAATGTGTCAGATGTTTTGGATCAGTCCCTGGCCGGAGTGCCAGCCGCATGAACCGGCCAAGGTGAACAGGTAGAGAGGGAGACAGAGTCCTTGGAGAAAGCACAGCTGTCAGAAATCCAATGCCGAGGCCTGCGCCGATGCCAGACGCTCTCTCTCTGTCTCACATTTTGTTAGATCTCTAGCTGAGCTCTGGCCCAGTGTTTGAGAGTATCCGTTTGCAAGCTCTCCATCCTTTGCCACCTGACCCGGCTTGAAAGCCACGCAGGCATGTGCATTTGGCCTGTGCGTGCGCACATAGGTGTGATCAGCGACAATAAGAGACAGACAATTCCAAGATTAATAGGTGCCTACAAAGAGACGAAAGGAAGGGGAGCGTTGCAGACTGAAAGGAAGGAGGATTCAGGAACGAGTCTGGACGTGAGTTTGGTGTCCCTGTCACCTGGTTGGAATGCAGAGCTCCTCATTTAGAAGGCTGTGTGATAAGATCAGGAGCAGACACACAGGATTTCCTGCCTACTGCCATACTGTCACCACTGATCACCACTTTATGAGACGTACAGTCCTGTTCTTATCCTCCGCTAACACGTACAGACTGTTTAACCTTTTTAAAGATACCTGCTTTATGTTTTTATGATTATTAGCACTTTTGTTTTCTGGGACGGGGCGTTCCGTTGGGTGTATAATGAAGTGTTACATTTTTGGTTGTATGGTTTTTATCAACATGGCAAAGAAGAAAAGATGTGGTTACACACATCGGATAACTCTTCCGGAAGGTTTGTTAATGCTTCAGAAGGATCGTAGGTTTTGAATTCCCATGACTCATTGCTCTGGTCGGTCCTAAAGAGAGGCGGATGTAAAGCGGCAGCTCAGCAGTGTAATTCTATACACGCTGGAAGCTGTGTCCTCATTTAGTTAATCTGTGCATTAGCATAGAAGTCGGCTGCCATACACAGGCAGTCATGGCTCTTTCTTGCCAGCAGGACATGGGGAGGTGGGCAAACCCCCCCGCAACCAGGAAGTCCATGGACTTGTGTGAGTCAGCTTGAGAGGCTGAGATTTTAAAAAATAAAATAAAAGCAGAGGTGGCGTGAGACTTAAAGGACGGTTGAAGAAGGTGCACTCATGTGACACCTCGTGTCAAATGTCTTCAGGGTGTTGGTGGAGGATATTTCTGATACAATTAAACCGTTAGACATGCGATTCAATTAGGTAAGATGTCTCACTTAAGCCAGTGAGCTGTTCCTGTGCGTGAATCGCCTCTGAGAGTTTGATACAACACATAAAATGCGGGGGTACGTCTTTGATATTGTGAAAGATTAAAGGCAGGGTTAAATGCTTGCAGTGCGCTATATTTAAGATAGACACTTCCTTCCAGCGTCAGAGTCTTCATACAGGTTTGCATAAAAATAGAGGAAATGGTTTTATTTATAGAAATGTTCTTGATTTTTATCTTTGGTCCTTAAAATAATCTATTTATATTTCCAGTCTCACAGAGAAGGAGAAATGCAGCGTCAGGACTACAAAATATGATTACTGCAATAACGTGAAAGCTAATTACCAACCGTTGGGGGTGGAGACGTTTTTTTCAACTTTTTTATTTTTCAGTTTAATATTTTTTGCTTCTATAACAATGTACCCGCACACTTTAATGTTGGACCCGAGAGAAAGATTACACGTCACCACTATAACGTGACCGAGCATCAACTGCATAGTTACAGCACCGTGAATTTAAAGCTTTTTGCAATAAAGAGAAATTTCTGAAAGCCTGACAGAGATTTGCTTCTGAGCGTCAGTCGTCTCTGTCCGATTGTTAATATGAACTTTTATGCAGCTCTCTGTGCACATTTTTAGCCTTAACAACGCTTCAGCGGTATGTGTGCGTAGTTAGCCGTGTGACTGCAGACCGGTGATTTAAGGGGTGTTGTTGCAGTGATACGCTCACTGAATGAGACTTGGCTTTTTGGTAAAGAGAGTTTGAATGAGATTATAGGCCTCTGCTGTCCTCTTCTTTCATTCACAAATTAGCTGCCTGCAAAACATATTCATCAAGAATTTCACTGTGATGATATAGGACGACTCCTGTAGGCAGAAGTCTAACACACTTGTGAACATGTTTGAATATCCCTGGAATAAAAGATACAACGAAAATGGACAAAAGGGAGGCTGTGCTTCCATCTCATCTACCTGTCATGAAAAAAGTCTACATTCAAGCTTAAGTTGGTGGTGGAGTAGGGTTATTGCTGTTGTGAAAGCTGTGGGCAAAGTAGAGGTCAGAAGGCCTGTCTTAAAGGGACCTCACGCCCTTATGGATACTGTCTAATTAGCAGAATTGAGCGATGCTGTCGGTGATCCCGGTGCGACCGTGTCGTCCTGCTGGGCCTTTTTTAAACACGACCAGATTGATTGGCGAGCCCTTTTTATTCCTCTGTCGTGAAATAAACCCATTGTCCTCCTGCCCAGCTTCACAGAAGCACCCTGCTGAGCTTATTTAGAACGCATGCTTGATCTAATTCGTTCCTATACAACAGCAAGTTAAAGAAATTGGACTGTTAAATGAATGCGATTGAAGTCATTTTCTCACTGCAGACAGCCAGTTTCGCCTGTTCTGGTGAAGCTGGTGCGCTCTGTGTTTATTTCCCCAGTCATGTTTGGAAAAAAGCTACCAGATCTATTCCTGAAAGGAGAAGTTTTTTCATTTCTTTCTTCACTGGCAAAGCGATAATAACATCATATTTATTCCATTAAAATGAAAGCATCTGCACAGTTACACAATCTTTTTGTTTGATATCTCCAAGGAGAGCCACGGTCCCACAGAGAGATTAGATGATGCACTTTTTGTTGCGCAACATCCGTTTCATGGTCCTAGCTGTGAGTCATCCATTAGTTTACAAGCAGAATTCACTGCCACTGCATCCTTGTAGAAAACAAACCAAAATAAGATAATAGCGGAAGTAAATGTCAAATGTTTGGCTCATGAGCATGTTTGTTCATATTTTTTAATAAAGTGATAAACTCCAAGTTTATTAATCTCTTTAAATTCTCCTTGTTTCTGTTTAGATTCGAGTCATTTCTGTAACCACATATCTGTCATCAGACATCAGCCGATGGGGTTCTCAGACTCATAATTATCGTGGATTAAGCTGATCCCTGTTTTTGCATCTAGCCGCTCGGGATCTTGTTAACCCTTTAACCTTAATGACTGTTTGAGAGGGGAAAAGATTACACTGTTAAAGTGAAGACTTCAGCGAGTTTCGGGAGCGAAAATAAATGCAGCGTTGTCAGTGTCTCGTTTTTGACGTATCTGCTTTTTTTCATTTGAGGTAACACGAGGCAGCGAGTCGCACTACAAAGTAGACATTGTTAACATCAAGGCTATTATTTATTTCTGCATCATGAGACTAACTAAATGTTGGTCTGAGATCTTTAGGTCTTTGGTTTTTGCACCACAGGATTTTTTTGTGTGGTTCCAGAAGTTAAAAAAAAAAAGGTTACCCAACATTGAGAAAGCATAAGAGGCCCCTTTTCCCTATGTGTGGAGCAGTCGGCCAAGAGGCCCCACATTCCCCTCAGAAAGCGCTATTGGTGAGTGTTGACATGAGGGCTGTGTGATATCACTTTTCGCAGCTCCCACATAATCATCTGTTTCATGCAGGATTACTTTCCATTTCTCCACATCTCTAAACACGCCTTTGAATTTTCACACTTTTAATAAAAACTTCAGCGTACTTGTGTAGTTTCTGCTGGCGTTTGAGAATATCAGCGATGTTTTTTCCTATAAATGTTTGTGCACAGTAAAATAATCGGTATGTTTCTTTCTTGCTGCAGCAGACCTATGTGTCCTCCGGCCACCAGATGGCACCCCCCAGTCCCAACACCAACAGTAGTAGCAACAGCAGTGGCGGTGGAGGGGAACAGCTGAGCAAAACCAATCTGTATATTCGCGGCCTCCATCCGGGGACCACGGACCAAGATCTGGTCAAGCTCTGCCAACCGTAAGTCATTTTTAAACTTTTGGTTATTTTGTACGTAGCACAGCAAGTCGAATTTTTATAAAGTTATAAAATCATCCTCTTTCTCATTTTTTGAGTTACCATCTATCTATCGTCAAGTGGAACATAAAACTATAGGTCGGCTGGGGTTAGCTTTGGAAAACATGAACACTGGATGAAGGAACAATCTAGCTTGCCTTTATTCCATCTATGAAATCCTCGCCTACCAAAAACACTGTATATCAAGGATTAGACGTGACCACAGTGACATCATTGATTGATAAGCTAAGTTCTGTTTCAAGTTTCGAGCCGAGTGTGCCGTTCTAGCTTTTTGTAACCAGTCACGAGTCCTAGATAGATCTGACTGTGAAGCTGAGGCACTAAAACCACCTTCACAATCCTACTGTTGACCAAAAAAAAAAAGACAAAAGGAACATTGTGCTGTTTTCAGTATAAATGGAAACTACTGACGGAGACCATAAGCCCATCAGGAAAGTGCTATTTGACAGCCACGGGGTGTTAAACAACCAGACTTCTTTTTGCAGCCACCTGCTGGACCTTAGAAAGAAAGCACTTCTTCACTGGCTTCCTTTTCCAGATGTGGAGGCTACCTCCATCTTTTAAATACAGGCTTTGATTTTACACACACAGAGAACTAAAAATGGTTACACAATGGAGACTTTTTGGCAAACAACTTCACATTTTTTCCAGAGTCTAATTTTCACTGTAGCCATCGTAAATTAGATGCACTATGCAAATTCTTGTTTGTTTCTGTATGTAGACAGAAGACCTACTACAATCTGTGATATGCAATAACACTGTTCTACTGTGTGATGATTAGATGACAGTATGACTTGCAATACAACGTCTACACAGTTCAGTTGAGAGTTTTCCTTAGGTTGTTGTGGGGCTTACATTAGGTGTAGATGCTGTGTTTGAACGTGTGCAGTGATAAAGGACTTTTGCTGCTTTGTGTGAGATAAGAAGCTGCAAACACATTAGAGAACATCCTGCAACGTTTCTCTGATTCCTTTAGCTGACATGCTGTGTTTGCATCTAAGTCTTGCAGTGGTAGATGAAGCCCCAGACTTAATCTCATGTATGTAACAGTCCGTCCCATTGGCCACGTGTGTGCGTGCTGACAGTGAATGCGTGGTGCGCGCCTTTCAGGTTGAATTTTCTTCATTGCACATGTTCCTCTCATAACAATGAAGAAACCGAGACTTATCTGTCGGTGCTAGTGGACACACATGTGTATTGAATGCTGATTGGGGCCTTTGAGGTGCTGCTACTTCTGGCCTTTAAACAGAATCAGGTTAGCTGCTAAGCTAAGTTTATCCTAACCTAAACCAACATATTCTGACTGTTGGAGTTATGGTGGTGCGCTCATATATACCAAGGTGTAACCTTAGTTTGGGTCTATGAAGCACTTAAAAATGCCTGTCTTATGTTAGTTGTGATAGGGGTGAGTCTTATCACAACTAAAGTCAGTTGAATTAATCTTGATGGGATAGGTGCTGAGATAAAGAAAAGAAACTTACAATATTTCCTCATTTAAACTCAGTGAAGCCAGACTTGTACACCTGGAAACAAACAGCCTAGCCAGTGTAGTTAGCTTTACAGACAAGCATGCAGTTAAACACCCAAACTGGTTTTTGGCTGCTGCAAGTGAGTGCTGTACGTCACAGAAGTGAACTTCAGCCCCACATCCATCAGGGCTCTTTCACAGTAAAAGCACATCCCTGTGAAGAAGCTTACACAACTTCTAATTTAAAAATGCCCGGTAATATTTCCAACATCACAGACCATCCATCTTTAAAACTTTGATTTTAATCATCCTGCCCATACAGAGAAAAGTATCAGAAGCATTAAAATCCACAGGGAGAATTTACTTGGCTTGTGACCACACACACACATACACACACTCATGAATTGTCGTGTGTGTGAGCAATCTAAGAAGATCAGAAATGTGCAGATGTGAAACACAGGAAGTTTGAGTGTTAAAGAGATTTACAGAGAAGCCATTGTGGATTGGCAGAGAAGTGGAAAGAGGACGGAGACTTTAGAGGAGGGTGGGAGGGCTACTGTTGAAGGAGAAACTTAAATGAGCGGGGAAAAAAGTAGCATGGCCTGCTGGGAAAGAATGTCAGATGACCATATATGGGTTAGGGCTGTCTTTTAGGCCCCTTTGGGCTCCATAGTGTGCTTGGTTGGTGTTCTCCTGCAGAGGAGCCGAGGTAAGCGCAGGGTCACACAGTCAGTGCCCGTTGACCTTTTAAACTCATAGCATTGTTGTTGGGGAAGTCATAAATGACAGCTTTTATTTTTATCTTTGGTTCTAATTATAACTCAGTGATCAGTAAGTCTTAAGTGAGTTTTTTAGATTTCTTTAGTTTAAAGGCATCAGATCGACACCAGAAAAAATAGAGATGCCTAACATCAGGTCAACCAGTTTTTTTTAAGCACATTTCTATTGTCCATACAACAAACATAGTATTTTCATTGTGCCTAATGAACTCACAGCAATGCCACTAAAGACCTTTGGTTTCTAGATAAATGATAGTTAAGTACAATTCAAGGTCAAACTCACATTTATTTCACCTTAAAGTTGTTTCAGTCGGACAATATTCATACCTCGAGTACTGACATATAATCCACATTGATAATAAAAATATTTAGACTTGATTCTCACCTAGACTTCACTTATATCTCTCATCTAAATTTTGCTCTTTGCTTGTAAATGCCAAACATTTTTGCTTTTTCCTAAATAATCAGACGCTTACTGTTCTGACATAATCAGGTGACAGGTGACAAAGTGCTTTCTGTAAAAAGAGTAGTGGATAAACTTAATGAAATTTGTCTCAGAAGGATGTGCGTGCATGTGTGTACGGCATCTTTACTTCCGAGGCTTTATATCAGTGAAAAGACACCGCTATAAAAAGAAACCAGTGGCTTTCAAGTCTGTTTTAGTTAAAGGTGACTGGTTATTTCAAATTTCCAGCTCCTTGTTTCTATTCATGGACCTTGCTAGATTAGCCTGGTGTGATTCAAAGTTCAAAGAAATCCTTAGCGCAGTCCCTGAGGTTGTCCGCTGTCTGAAACTTGCAGTTCTGTTAGGTCCGTGTTTGTCAAAATAGGATTATTATGACTTCTACAGCCATTTTTATTTTATTTGGCGGTGTGGGACTGTTCTGTGTAATGCAGGGAAAGCAGCAGCACCACCACAAATGCTTCACGTAACATAGCAGGCTTCATTGACAATGCACGTGACATTGATTAAGTCAGCAAGAGCATGAATAACATGAAAAGGAGGAGATTAGGCGGAGGTGGGTTGCAAAGTGTTTTGCAGAAGTTGAGCCATCAGCTGATTTGGGCTGGCCACCCTCCTATTACAGTAGGTCAACTTCCTTTGACTGGCTGCCTCTCATAAACAAAAGGGTTGAACTCCAGGTGGGTGGGGTTGCTGCTTTCATAGCAGAACGGTGCTTTACCTTAACGTGATTATCCACCTTCATTAACATCGTAGTAGTAGAAAAAATGCAATCAGAATATTTGTTCAGGAATGAAATGTTGAACTGCACAGGAGCCTCAAAGTAACCAAAGCGTCCTGTAGTACAGAGTACGGCATTTGCATCCAGAATAAAGTGATGTAGAGGTAAAACACAGCACAACATAGAAATACTTGAAGTATAATTACATGAAAATGTCACTGGACACGTTCTGCAGTTTCTCGAATGGCTGTAAACAGCACAGCACCAGTTCAGCTTTGTATACTAACAAAAATCCACCATAAAATCAACTGTGTCCATATGTGAAAGCCAGAGGTCCAACTGTGAAACTTCATTTGGGCTTGAATGGGTTACATTATATCAGGGGTGTGTGTACATTCATGCCTAACAACCACTTTGCAGCTGTTAGATGACACTGGGACAGTATAAACATAGCCTGTGTTTATTTGGTAATGGCTGATGAATTATTAATGCCTGCAATAAGGAGCTTTTCTACCACTATAAACTGTGCAGCGAAGCTTCTAGATTATTTTAATTCATCATAATCGAAATGCATATATATGTTTATTTGAATATCAAACTTAACACACAGACATAAGCTAATAAGGTCAATGCAAACATTCAGTCATGCCCCACCGCGGTAACTGGAGTGGAGCCATAAACGTTGCTCCTATATAACTTCTGGTCTTTGCATTTAGGACAAAAGTGGAGGAGTAGCGATGTCTTTAAATTGAATTGCCAGTCATTACCCACGTCTCTGTTGTGACCATCAAGCTTGGTCTGAGTCATGTGGTTAAACGTGCACTGAAACAAGGCCGGAGTGTAGGACCCAGCAGTGTGCTACCATGTGAGGGTGGAAAAACAGAGAGAGAGAGCGGGACGTGGTGGGAAGGAAGGCGAACTGGAGGGGTGAAGCATCAGGTTACAGTGTACATTCCGCCCAGACGCCATGTTGCCCAAACAGAGGAGCACCAGCCTCTCTCACTGGGTAAATTCACCAGACAAGGGCAGGTCTATTATACTGTAGTGCTGATGCACCGTCTTACAACACTGCATTCCATTAGTCTCAGCATGTTGCATAACACTTCTCATTTGCTGCCTTTAAGGTGATTTTCCTACTATCAATATTTATGTGGCTGGATGTATGCAGAAACTGATTTTCATCTTTTACTGACTGACCTTTGTTGTACGTCTCCGTTGACAGCTGTGAACCGAAATGACAGGTTAAGACATGAACTTGTGTTTCGCACGCTATATTCCTTCTTTTGTTTGTAGATGGGTGGATGAAAATGCATTTTCCTGAAAATTAATATCCCAGTTTGAGAGTCTGATGTTGCAAGTGACAAGACGTTTAAGCTGTATTTAAGTCAAAAATACCCTAAAGCAGAGCTGTATTTAGAAGAGAGGTGTTAGTGTGTTAGTCTGTGTGTGTGTATGTCTGGTAAAGACAGGCCGGGAACAAATTGTTTTTGGCCCTGGGGTGCCGTCCCCTGTCTTCGAAAACAAAGTCGGGGAACAGAGTTACTGTACGGCGGCCTGAACAAAGACACGAGGGAGGAGTCAGACGAAGTTTTCAGTGCCTCTTAAGATCATTAAATGCACACAAATGGTTGCACAAAGGATTTTGTATTCGTGTTTACACCTGTAGTCTGGCAGCCAGGGGAAATTTATAAATATTGGCAAGCATGTGGTAGGAGCAGATTCCTCTTGTTGCCTCATTGTAACCTTGTCCACTCATTCATCCTGTATTCTGTGTTCTTGTCTCTTCCCTGAAGGTATGGCAAAATTGTGTCGACCAAGGCCATCTTGGACAAAACTACCAACAAATGTAAAGGTAAACTCTAATAATCTTTTCAAAGACTGGGTTGTCATGTTTTTTTTTTATATGTTTTTTTATTTTTTTATTATTATATATACATATTTGAAATGTTTGGTTCAAATTGTCATCATAATGTACAGACAAGGTCAGGAAAGAGGTACAACAGTGAGTTTTTGGAGCCCACTGTAAAACACGGTGGAGGCTCTGTCGTGGTTTGCAGCTGCTTTTAGGCCAGTAGTCTTGGGGACCTTGTCAATATTGATGGAATTGTGAATGCAGGAATGTACAGACATATTATGAACCACCATGCAATACCATCTGAAAAGCAACTGATTGGCAACGGCTTCAGTTTTAATGACAATGATCTCAAACACGCTGTCAAAGCAGTAGAAGCGCGCCTAGATGGAAAACACTCAGTGGAACACTATCAGTCATGGATTGGCCTCCCCAGAGCCCACACCTCAGTGTTATTAAACCACTGTGGGATGATCTTGACAGAGAATGAAGCAAAAGGCAGCCGACATCCAAAGAAGATGTCCTTCAAGAAGCCTGAAGAACTATTACAGAAGACTACTTAAGCTTGCATATCAGATTCAGCTTGTAAGAATAAACGTGGTCATACCAAATACTGACTTTCAAGCTTGTTAGAATTGCTTGCACATTTCAATGAATCACTGCACTCATTTCCCATTTTTCCAGCAAAATGTAAAGAAATGTGGCTCAACACTTTTGTAGAGTGCTGTATTCAGCAAGCGCATGGCATCTTTTCATGTACTTCCTGATGCTACAGCATTTTTACCATCAGTTTGTCTGTTTTACAGGCTATGGCTTTGTGGATTTCGACAGTCCAGCAGCAGCACAGAAAGCTGTTACAGCTCTGAAATCCACTGGGGTCCAGGCTCAGATGGCTAAGGTAAGAATTAGCCAACTATCTTGTATCCATCTACCACTTGTTGCTTCCAAGTTTACCAGCCACCATTAGATTTAAACATGCCTTGTTTAGCCCATCACCCCGTCTTGTACCCGTATTGATCTTCAGAGAGCCATCAGCTCAAGAGTCATGGCCCTATTGCTGCGTACGTACACACACTATCATGTAAAAGGTTAAAAACTGTTACATGCAGTGGCCTAATTGGCAGCGACTGTGCTGTTGGAAAGGGTTCAAAGTAAACTCTTGTCTATAGGGAGGTGTGTGTGTACTGAGATGTCCCAGTGATGCACAGCCCAGACCTGCAGAAACAGTTTGCTGATCATATTTTTTATTGCTTGTTCCTCCGCTCTGTTCGGTCTCCTCTCAAATCCTCCTTTTGCCTCTTTCTTCACTGTCCTCCGCACTACCTCCTGTCTCCTTCCCCCTCACGTACTTCATTTCTGTGCTGTGTATGTTACAAACCTGCTCCTGTTGTAGCACTTGTTCTGAACTCTGTTGTAGCACTTGTTCTGAACTCTTTGTCCAAGTGTCTGAAGTCAAAGCTACTCTTGTCGGCCCATTAAGCTGATCCCTCTGGCTCTGAGGCTCCCCATTGAAGGAACCTGGGGGGGAGGGTGCCACTACACCCGCTGTCAATGGGACAGGCACAATGGACTGGCATTGTCCATCGCCTGGGCCTGGGCCTGGGGCAGACACCAGCACTTAATACACTCCACGCCGGCGTCCCTACCTCCTCCCTCTATCTTGCACCCAAACAGACCCGCAGCAATGTAACACCAGGGTCTCCCTCAGAGCAGCGCTGGAGAACTGTAACGGATACACACTGCCAGCTGACCTGAAACAGTCCAGTGCAACTAAAACCTGAGTCTAAGTTCACTGAGCTGCTTCTGTAAGAGTGCCATACAATCCTGCGTATCTTTGTACTTGACAAGTGCAACTGGACACCATAACCTGACTCACCCAGACAGCATGTGCTCAGTGAGAGGTGTTGATAACCACTATATAAACCTAAATATACACCGCCGTCTCAGAGTCAGTGGGTATTTCAGGTCAGCAAAAAAAAAAGAGCTATAGTCAATGGTATTATCAATATCAAGGGCAGGCTCACCTGCCAGCAGCTTCACCATGGCTGCTGCAGTGTTATTCACAAACACAATGAACCACACCTTGAACTAGATGTCCTTAGAGTGTGTGCTAAGTCCCTGAACGGGCCACCCCAGCCTCCAGGCTGCAAGCCCAGAGGAGCTGCGTGTGTAGGGGCAGCGAAACAATGGCAAAGTTAAAAATAGAGCCCCCTCCACCCCACCCCCTCTGTTTTTTTGTTTTTTTTTCTTTTTTACTTCTCAGCACCTCCCTGTTTGAACTCAGACGTCATCACCCACACGCTGCTCGACACACAAACACCCAAGTGAGCTAACGCACAGACACACCTTAACAGACACGGCTCGGTGAAGGCCTGGCACAGACAATACACGGTGGACACCTCAGCAAATCCCATTCATGCGCCTGAGCTGCGCGCGGCAACATTTTAATACAGCAGGAGGAAAATTGTTAGAATATCAAACCGTCTGCTGCGTGCGCTGGCCGAGCTAAAAGGAAAACAAAAAAAGGGAAAAGGGGTGGAGTTTTTTGTTTGTGTTTGTTTTGTCATATGGCTTTGAATTCCATTACTGTCAGCTGGCCTATGACCCCTGCGGTTTGCTCCTCTGTTGCATAATAGCTGTGTTAGCAGGAATGACGGCAATCACAGAAAATAGGTTATCTCTCCACCAGATGGCTGAGAGTAGGAGATACTCACGTAGGCTATAAAACATTTAAGATAGCTGTTGACATACTTTAATGCCATAAATGTTCTCAGGAATTCTTCATTGTCAGATCGCCACCTCTGTCAAATGTGCCCGAACAGCTTGGCAAGTATCTGAGGTACTGGCTGTCCTCTCCTGGTTGTTGCTTGGATCAGTCCAGTCTAAACAGTTGTAACTCGATTTGCCTCGCTCGCTGACAGCTTCTGACAGCTTCTTCTCCATCCAAATTTAAAAAGCTTTTATTATTTGTGGTGTGCAGAGCTGTTTGATTGCATGCAGCAGGCACTGAAAAGAGGAGATAAAATGGTATAGAGAGCAGCCTGCTAGTCAGAAGACACCCATCTGTCTTCTTTTCTAGTTTCACTCTTTTTCTGTCATTCTCCTTTCTAATTGCCCAAATGACTGCAGAGGCCTGGGTAGGTCCTACCCTGTGAGTTTCCTCCTTCCGTAACAAAATATCAGCCTTTTGAGTTATTAATTTCCTCCCTCTTTCTTCGCTCTCCGTTTTTTTTTTCCTTCCCCTGTTTTTTAGCCCAGCCTCTTTTTTTTTCATGGTTGCCAGGCTCCTGTTGCTCTGTGAACTCTTTAACTTCATGCCTGGCTTCCTGTCTGCTTCTGCATAGTCACACAAGGTTTCGCTTTCAAGTAGTGCCACCAAATGATCTCTCCTCTTAATTTACTCCCAGATCAAGATCTCTTCATTAGTCAAAATTATACCAAAAAAGCACGACTCGCTACCCCTGTGCACAAATTAATGCTTTGCAAATGTCAGAGTGTTTTTTTTTTTTTAGCGTGCACGCAAGGTTTTTCAAATCCTCCTCAGCTGTGGCAGTGACACATAGAAAGTGGTGAGAGATTATTCAGGGTTTCCCTTTATTGGTCTGTCACTAATTGCTTAAAAACATTTCAGCAGGTTCTGTTACTAAATTATGCTTGACACGCAAATGTAATTTAATCAATTTGCCAAGTGCAGTGGCAGGTGTTGATGGAAAGACGGGTCGCACTGCTGCCTACACAAAAATTTGTGCCGTGTGGAAAAAAAGATTTTTGAAAGTGACAACATTTTTCTATTTGCAAGAGTGCCAGGAAAGTGTGCTATAATATATATATTTTTAACTTGAAGCCGGGAGAACTTCACGCTTTAAGCAACTGTAAATACTTGAATAAAGCAGCGGCGTCTGCACCGACACGGTTGCTTTGAGATAAATAATAAAAAGTCGGCGCCGCGTTTCCTCATTCAAAGCTTAAGAAGATGCACGAGCGAATGGATTCTCATTTCTCACTTTCTGTATAGCAACAGGAGCAGGACCCCACCAACCTCTACATCTCCAACCTGCCCGTGTCTATGGATGAGCAAGAGCTGGAGAGCATGCTCAAGTCTTTTGGCCAGGTCATTTCCACCCGCATCCTCCGAGATGCTAATGGGACCAGCCGCGGCGTCGGATTTGCCAGGTCAGACTGTGGCCTCGCATGGTGGCCCATCGTGTCTTGAGCACATTTTCTGTTATCAATTACATGTAATTTGTGCAGCTCTGGCACGGACCAACCGAATGCAAACAGCGCTTCTCGAGAGGGATTAATTTTAACTCTGTCTGGTTTTTCAGGATGGAATCCACGGAGAAGTGCGAGGCCATAATTCAGCATTTCAATGGCAAATTCATCAAGACTCCACCAGGAATACCCGGTGCGTGGAATGTTTTTTTTGTATTATAGAAACCTGATACTGTTGTAAGTGCTGGAGCTGAGTGTGTTTTCTTCCCCACTGTGATCAGTGAATTCACTCTCTTGTTTGACCTGTTGCTTTCTCAGTGCCCACAGAGCCCTTATTATGTAAGTTTGCAGACGGAGGTCAGAAGAAGAGGCAGAACCAGAGCAAATATCTTCAAAATGGAAGACCTTGGGCTAGAGACGGAGATACGGTAACGTCTTTTTTTCTCTCCTCTAAAATCATGGAGAAAAATCACATCAAGTACATACTGGAAAGTTTTGAATTTAATCGTCCACACTCTGTGCTAGCAGACTGTTTTAGTACGTACTGCACCGGTGTTTGCATGACCTCACTGGTTCTGAATCCCTTTTTTGTTTTCCCAGGGAGGAATGACGCTTGCGTATGACCCCACAGCCTTACAAAATGGGTGAGTGGTATGCACGGACTGACTAAAAACAGTCCCAGCCCTCCAGGAAAATAAACATAGCAATCAGAGACTGGTAAAAGGCTGCCCTCTGCTGGACATTGCAGGATCTCAGATATGTTGCTAAATTAGCTGGAAATTGTGGACATGTTGCAGTTTCCTTCATGTTTTCTTCTTGTTGCTCTGTGTGTTTGGCAGCTTCTACTCCTCACCTTACAGTCTGGCTCCAAATCGAATGATTGCTCAGACTTCCCTCTCTCCCTACATGCATTCTCCTGTCTCATCATACCAGGTGGGACTTTTCACTCTGTTTATATTCAAATTATTAGTAGTTTTGTTTGTTCATTTTTAGCCCTGCTGGCTTTTAAAATCTGCATGAAAGTGAATCATGTATTTTTCTGTTGCTTTTCTGTACCGAATCCCTCATTAAGGTCACGTTATGTAAGTTAACATGCAGAACGGCTGCTTTCATCCAGGTCCTGTCTCTGTTCTTGTGACCTTTTTGTGCCAGCTTACACATTAAGGGCTCTGAGGGGACTGTGACAGCACCAGATGAAAAATATCGAAAAGTAATTTTGCGATGTACTCCCGCCTCTACAGGTACACAACCCGTCCTGGATGCACCATCAGTCATACCTCATGCAGCCAGCTGTGAGTATCCCTTCTGGTCAATGCTTTCTGGTCTTTTCACTTGGCCCACAGGGCAAAAAAGCATAAACAAAAGTGTAAATGCAAAAAGCGCTTGAAGCAGGATATACAAATCAAAGTGTCACGGCAATGAAAAAGAACATAGTTCTTTCTGTTACATGGAAATCAACAGGAACAAGCAGCCTCAGTGGTCACACAGGAAGCTGTAATATTTATTGGATCTCTGATAGTTGTGATCTTTAAGCGTACGCTTTAAGCATTGACCTGCTTTAGGGAACGCCATTCATGAATTAGTCTCAATACTTTTTTGTGGTTGTAATTACGCTGCATGTTAAACTGGACAATGTATCTGTAGCTGCCCAGCATCAGCTGCATTGCTGCCACTATCTGAACTTGACCAGTGGCAGCTATGATTTGCATTAACCAAATGAAAGGAAAAATATCTTCTGCTGGGTCAGCTTTTATGGAAAAGGGATCAGGGTGCGTGCCGAAGCCATGTGGAAAGCTTAAAGAGGAATGCACACCTGAAAGGGCTTTTATTTCATCAGTAGATATCTACAGTTTAAAAAAAAAAAAAATTAAACGTGTACCAGTGTTATTAATAAAATATGATGAATATTAACCTCTGCATTTTAACAAAATGTAGTTTCTAGGTGATACATGTCACACTCTGGGACTGCATTTAGGTGTGTGTCTCTGTGCGTTCGCAGGGTACAGTTATTACCCCAACAATGGAACATGCCATGTCCATCCAGCCCACATCCATGATGGGACCTCTCACCCAGCAACTAAGCCACCTGTCTCTGGGCAGCACAGGCACAGTCAGTACCAACAGACACACAAACAACTGTCCCCGTCCCTAACGACATTTACAAGTGTAATTATTTGCGTGAAATACTAAACACACAGTCACAGATTTCGTTTTCCTCCCTGTCTTCCCTACAGTATATTCCGGCCAATACAACTATGCAGGGGACCTACATCCCCCAGTACACCCCAGTGCCTCCTTCCAGCGTCCCAGTAGAGGTATGAAACGTTTCCTAATGTCTTAATGATGTTTTGTTTTTCCATGAGGTGGCTGGCTCAAAATGAAAACTCCTTTGTGGGACATGCTGTGTAACTAATAATTGAACGTGGCTAAAGAAATGGAGGTGGTTGTTCAAAGGTGCCAGCTGGCTGATTGAATTCACTCGATATCCCGAGAGCCTTTTAAAGTGATCATGAATTTACCAGCTAAACCTTTAACTGCGGCGTACGTCCCTGTGTCTGTGAAGTCATTTTGTTGATGTTTTTGAGATCAAAATGACTTAGCAGTGCTGTCCTGCCTTCTTTTTAATCTGTGAAACAAACTCGCCTAGTTTAGGTTGCAACTGCTCATTTTCCTTATTCATTCATAAATCTGCCAGATATTTGATTCATTAAAAATTGTCAAATAATGAAATATTAAAAAGCATCTGTCATTTTATTGCTTTATTAGGTAAACAGCACCACTTAAAAGTGCTTTTAAGAAGCAGCAAAAATTCTTTCATCGTGTTGATTATCTGTTGAATGACTGATTATTCCAGGTCAGCACATGTGTTTGCTGCTTGAACCAAAGAGAATATTTCCAGCTGGGAGAACCTGTATAAATGGAGTGTCTGCTTCTGTTTCCGCCCAACATTGGGCTGAGTCCATGTGTAACCTTTGACAACCTGAATGCAGCCATATGCAAACCTCAGATTTAAGACTATTACCTAACCGGGCAAGCCTTTGCAATTTCTTTATGTCTTTCTTTATTTACTTTGGCCATCACTGCGCAGTCTGTGTGTTCCAGGGCTGTATTGTGGCAGATCCAGGCAGAGTGCTCTGCAGTAGGGCCTCTGAACCTGTGGGGTGTTTTTAAGCCATTTGCTGAATGGAGCTCAGTGATAGCGGTGGTGGCCTCTTAGGTGACCTTGTGAATGAGAAAATGGATGATTTATGAATGAAGTACAACAGAAAGCACATGAGAGGGGGAGGCTGTGAGTTTAAATCCAATATTTGCTCTTTGTGCATGCACACAAAAGGATAAGATGCATTTAATGTGATTAGGAAGGGAGTTTTAAAATATCGTCTGTCTCCTTTATGCTAACATCTGTGTGGTTGTCATGAATTATTAAGTTGCTAAACCTGAATTTTCTTTTCTTTTCTTTTACCCCAGGAAAACGGTGGCCAGCAGCAGCAGGTTGCAATGGAGACTCCTACAGAACACACAAACTACTCATACCAACACACCAAGTAAAGCTAAGGTAGGTAAGGTCGCTCCTTCCTGCAAATTACAAATATGTAGACGTTTGTAAATTGCTTAATTAGCAAAATTGTAATGAGCATGAATGAAAACATAAGTCGTGGTTAAAAGAGACACAGATGATTACAATGGTGAAAATATTACTAAGTTAAAATAACTTTTTTTAAGGAGGTTTCCACAAATCAAAAACTCTAGAAAAATAATAATAATAATGGATTACATTTATATAGCGCTTTTTGAGACCCTCAAAGCGCTGTACAATTCCACTATTCATTCATTCTCACATTCACACACTGGTGGAGGCAAGTTACAGGTGTAGCCACAGCTGCCCTGGGGCGAGGCTGCCATATCGCGCCATCGGCCCCTCTGGCCATCACCAGTAGGCGGTAGGTGAAGTATCTTGCCCAAGGACACAACAACCAAGACAGACAGAGCTAGGGATCGAACCGGCAACTTTCCGGTTGCAAGATGAACTTCCCAGCCCTCTGAACCACGGTCACAATAAAGACATGATGGTCATTGTGGCTTCTGGATGGGGGCATGTTTATGAGTGTTGTTCTTTGTATAGGGACTTTAAAACTGAGAAATTCTCTGTACACTCCACCTACATATGTGGTTAAACGTTTCTCAGTTATTGAGCCTTTGAAGAGCAAAATATCAAATATTTTAAATGTAATTGTTTGTAGCAGTGCTACAAGCTGATCGCCTCTATGCCACATCGCGCTGATGCAGTAAGCCGAGGGGAAGGAGCCCGAACTAAGCACAGAGTGTATAAATGAACATGCTTTTCCGAAGCTGGACATTATTTTATTGTAAATCCTTTTTTTTTAGTTGCTCTTATGAAAGATTATAATCTGATATTAGATACTGGATTTCTAACTTTCATGAGCTATAAGCCTGTATGCTGTTTGTCATATCCTTGCCTGGACATGTGCACCACATCCAGGGCTGCTGCTGCCATGTTTAGATCCCACCCTGGAAGTCCCCATTCTTCCCACTTTAAACTATCCGCAGTGGTTACCAGATCTTCTCTGCTGCGTCAAAATTGCAACCCTCATGGTAAAGAGGTTGAAAACACAGGGCATGCGGTGAGTGAAGATTGTGCTGCTGTGACTAAAAACCATTTTCACGCCAGGCCGCAGCACGGCTGAGGCTGTTTGCACCGAGTGGTCGTCTCACTCTGGGGTACTTCATTGGTGCATCAACCGGTGATTGTGAAAAGAAAGAAAAGGAGAAAACAGATGACAGATCATTTTCCCGAGGTGATAAATCACTCCAAGGTTTGAAAACTGCCTCAGCGGGAGCCAACTGTCATCACCATCGGCTTTATCTGACACCAAGTTTATGTTTGCTCTGAGGTAAGTTTGAGGTCAGCGGTTGCTAAGCACAGACTTCCAGTCAGGCATCTAAAGGTCGCTGCAGTGCTGGAAGCGGTCCAGGTATGCACAGTGACGCAACCTTAAACTCAATAGCAGCCAAACCGGAATCAGGTGTGGTTCGTGCTTTCAGTGATCGTAGAGGTAGACGGTCACGCCGTGTGTATCCATCGGCTGAAAAAACTCAAAATAAGGAGTAGGAAGGAATGATTTGATATTGCATAATATGATTTTAAGAGGAAGACTTTAGCTAATTATGTCTGCTATGGTCTAAAAGCATCTCATGCAATGTTTTCTAAACTATGATCAGTGCAAGTGCGCGAGTGGGTTTAGAGTGTCAACGCTGAGTCGTGTGTTTTGCAGCTCCCGGCAGGGTGGGGCCGAGGCTGCGAAATGAATCCAACCGAACAGGATTCAGCTGGAAGAGATCTGTGCTCCACACCATCACCAAGCAACCCGACTTGAACATGGATGACAAAAGGAACACGTGTATGCCTGTGAGTGTGTTTGTTTGTGTGCGTGCGTGTGTGTGTTTGTCTGTTGTTTGTCTATTTCTGTGTTTTTTGTTTTGTTCTTTTTTGGGGGGGGTTTAAAGAAAAAGGACAACACTTAACATCATCAGACTTTTCAGCTCACATCCTCAAGAGCTGATCAACCAAAGGTGGGAATCTTCTTCAAGAGAAGCTTTGATCTATTTTGATAACTGAAAAAAAAGGAACGTAACAAAAAAAGAGGGTTTAAAAAACTCTTTGAGAAAAAAAAAAATTAAAAGAGGAGGAAAAGACAGAGCATTATTTTTGTGTACGTAATATAGCAAATTCTTATTTTTAACTGAGCATTCTGGATGTTTCAGAGTGATTCAAGGAAGAGTTGAAACACAATGTGTCTTTTTGATTTTTTATTTAGGTTTTTTTGTAAAATATGCAAAGGTTTATTTTTATTTCCTGATGTCTGTTGTTGTTTGACATTCTATTTGCAGCAGCGGGACGGGTTGGGGTGTGCGGGGTTCGGGGGGGCGGGGAGGGGGGCAATTTGTACAGATTTTAAAAAAAGCAAAAAAAAACTTACAAACACTTCCGCTGGTCTGGTGTGTCGAGTCGCTCTGACTGTGGGAGGCAAACCGTTTAAAGCTACTTCTTCCTGTAACTGCTGCAGAGATTTCTCATCACGCACAGATGATGACAAACATCGACTGTTTATAGTTTAGTCAAATTAATTCTTCTCTTTCTTGTTTTTTCGTTTAACTTTAAATCATTCTTTCTTAAGAGAACAAAAGACAATCAATTATTTATATTTATATTTGAATTATAGTTCTATTTTTTAGAGGTTTTAGATCAGCGAGGCATACGTTTATACAAAAGGAGTTATTTAATACTGTAGTCAATGAAAACATGAAAGAGCTCCCCCCCCCCCTAGCTGAGCTCCAGTGTTTGGCTCATGAATTTAATTTTTAATTATTTTTTTATGATTGGATCACTCTCAGTCCACATATGCTTACAAAAAAAACCTGCACCTACTGTTAATAGTTAATACTTTACTACATCCTCGTCCATGAGAAGTGGTTTTAAGCGGTTTTGTGGTGGCGAACCATCAGGTATCATTGAATTCATCCTCTGCCTGAAGTGGTGACGTGTGCACGCATTACAAAGGAGAGATTATGTGAAAACAAAGAGCAAATGCAGTGACTAAATTAAGACGTAGCTTAGTGAAAGCAATGAGGGATATCGAATGGAAGACTAACAAAATCCCTGAGAATAATTAGTTTGAGAGGAAAGGGAGCTGTAAGTCTTTTTTTTTTTTTTTTTCAATGCTGCTGTCACCTGAGTTTGATTCTTTGTCAGTGATTTTTGTTTTTTAGTTTGTAGAAAGTTAAGTGTCTTCTGTTTTTTCTCTCTCTCTCTTTTGTCTTTCACTTGAAAGTCTTTGAGCTAATTTGCCTTATTTTTTGATGAGTTAATCTTACAAGTAGATTAGATTTTAGCTGTAGATTTTTAGCTTTTTATGGAGTCGTTTTTTTTTGTTTGTTTGTTTTGTTGACGCTGTTTTCTTGTGCGCGTTGTTTTCTTTTCACATGAATTTCCGTTCCAAACCTCGCGTCGTCTGTCCCGACATTGCGTCTGGCCTCTTTAGCAGAAAGCCTTCCAGAATGGAGAGCTGAACCAAACAGTGACTTTACTTAGTGCTGATCCAAATCACTTCTACTGATGCTGCTGCATCGGGCTCGGACAAGCTCATAAACACACAAACCTGGGCTGTTTTCAGCTTTTTAAGTCAGCACACCGAGTTAAGCTGTCACCACGTACATCCAAACATGTTGAACTTTAATTTATACGGATATCAAAAACTGTACATATGTAGATAATAGAAATAATGGTTTTACAAAGGACTGCTCACTAGACCATGGAAGTGCCATTAAAGATGATTCTTACAGCCTTTAGTGAGACAGCAAGTCTGAATGACTTTGTGAGTGATTTAAAAAAAAAAAAAAGTCTGCAAAAACTCTTTCTAGCTAAGCCTTAATGTTTTTCCTCTGGACGAACTGCCCGGTTTCACATAGATTTGACATGAGTTTGTATATACTGTGGAAATGGCAGCAGGGTTGTTTGAACTTTGAGTCAGTTGAGTTAGACGTAGAATTACCAGGAGCTTTTCTTCCTGTTCTTTAACCATTCATGTTTGAATCCAGTGAAAAGACGAACGAGATAACATCTTCCCCAAGGCTTACATTGTTTTTTTGCAATTTTTCTGTTGTACATTTCTGCAACCAAAGATGTTTTAGCCACCCACCGCTGTCTCCAATCTCCCAAGATGCTCGTATGTTTTGTGTAATGGTATAAAATGCCTTTTTTTGACTCTAAGAAAGAGAAAGATGGCAATAAGAGTGTTAACGTACACTCAATATTCCAAATTATGACTACAGTTTGAGGACTTTTTCAGCTCTGTCTTAGAAAGTGTTTTTGAAAAGAACAAATCCAGCTGCTTAACCCTAGTTCCCCTTAGCTTACATAATGAGTGCAGGACAGCATGCGAGCAGACTTTACCGAACTCAGCTACAGCCCGACCGATATATCGCCTGCCGATATTATTAGCTGATTGCCGATATGTCGGTGTCAACATTTATAAAGCCCGCTAAGCAAAGATGAGACGAGAGAAACACCTTTCCACCATGTTATGTGTTGACACTGCATGGTTTGTCCACCAGAGGGCACATGTTTGGAATTCTGCAAAACAACAACCGGCTGATCCGAGCAGCATAAACAAGTAATCCACAACTCGTGATAAGAAAACATTATTTTTAGATAGCATTGTCATATTGTCTTAGTAAGGACACAAAAACAAATCTACAAACCAAAAAATTTATGTTGAAAGAAAAAAAAAGTATCAGCCGATATTTGAATCACCAGCTATCGGTACTAGTATCGGTCTTAGAATCCTATATCGATCGGGCTCTTGACTCAATGGACATTAAGAAAAACGGAGCACAGATTTTACGATTGGTGCAAACACGAACATTTTCAGACACAAGCAGATTTTGTAAATAGCCTGTCTTTCCTTGCACTTCTTTCACCGTTTTTTTCCCTTTCTTCTTGTGTGTTTTTGTGATTTTTAATTTTTTAGTATGAATTATAACCTGTCCAGAAAACACAGTGACTTGCAAGTTTTCAGATTCAGCGCACCATGAAGGAAAATGTTCTGAGAAATGCTATTCCATATATTAGCCATCACTTTTAATACAAAACAAGATTTTGAAACTATGAAATGACCACTTGTTACAATGCAGTGTTTATTTATTTTTTTAAAGCAGAGATGACAGGACAGGAAACTAAAGGAACTGGCCTTTTAAATGACATAACAAATATAGGAATACTAAGACCACATGGAAAGTACACAATATTTGAAATAAAATAAAAAATACTCATTGCACTTGCATTTTTAGTCCGCATAGATTTGTAAATGCTATTTGTATCCATCCTAATGTCAATTTGACAGCTTATTTCATAGTTTCAAAACATTTTGCTGCTAAAACAGGATTTCCAAACAGCTGGTTTAATAACGTCACATCTGGATTTTCAAAATGTTTCATTTTATTTCAGTTTGGTTAATACCAGTGTCGCAATTTTTTTCGTTTTAAACAATTGAGTCATACTGTTATGTAATACTACAGTTTACTATATGTTGCAGTAGTGAGCAGTTTAACTAGATAAATATTCAATCATTTTAGCAAGAAATGCTGTCTTAAAGTAACATTTTTGATCCACAAACACAGCTCTACACTGTATAAACTGTATTGTGTGGATCACAAGCTTTTTGAAAATTCAGATTGGCGCATTTCACTATCTGTTTGTGAATAGTTTTCTTATTTATACAAGAACTCATTTTGTACAGTTTTGTTAGAGGAAAGAGGTTTTGATATTTGGTTATTTTGCAAATGCCATTTGGCTTCTTTTGTCTTCCTGTGCCAGAGTTGCTAAATTGTCTGTAACTTGTGTTTTTGTTTTTCTTTTGTTGTTGTTGTTTGTTTTTTAATTGATTGAGATTTTACTTCTTTCTTGGTTTTCTCTTTGAATTTGAATATGTCAGTTTTCTTTTTTTAATAAAAGTCTTGTTTCAATGTTTTTGTGAGTGATTTATTATTGGCTGTTTAATTTTTGCTAAATTAGGGGTGTATATTACATATTATGGACGCCTGATCTTGCAGTATCATTAGTCTTACTTTCTTAATCTTTAAATTGAATTAGTTTTTGCAGGAAGCTAAAGTCCACCTGCTTAAATAAGTACTTAACCAATAACATGGCAACAACTCAGTGCATTTAGGAACGTAGATATGGTCGAGTCAACCTCCTGATGTTCTGACACATGGAAAAGAAAGTTGATTTAATAGGATAGCAATTTCCATTTCCATCTCTTTATGAGCAGTGTGCCAATCTTGATGGCTGATCCAAAAGGGTTAGTGCAGTGTGCCACGAAGCACAGATCATTTCAAGTGACAATAAGTTCACTGTACTCAGATGGCCTGAATAGTCACCACATCACTCAGTCCAAGTGACTTCTTCAGGCTCAGCTGACTGCAGGTTTCCCTAACCTTTACACAATGACTGAAACTAGCACCACTGATGAAAAATGGGCTGTAAGGTCAGTTTCTTGATCATTAATATGCATGTTATGACCATTGATGAACAACCACTGATCAGAGACCATTGATGCCAGTATGAACTAAAATCTCTGAGGAATGTTTCCTCCACCTTGTTGAATCTGTGCCATTAGCTTGGTGTATCTAATACTGGTCAGTGTACACACAACTCCAAACCCCACAAGGATGGTGTAGTTTGCTCTGTAGAAACATACAATACAAAGAAATGTTATTATTGTTTAATTCTGTAACATTAAAATTAACACACTTGATAGGTTTCATGTGTTACTTTAATTACATTGCCACTTACAAGTCCATAGCCCGTGTTCTTTGCAAAGAAATGTATAGTGTTTTTTATTCATTACACACAGTTTCCAGCGTTCCCATTAATAACTTATTAATCTAAAACTATTTTCTATAACAGCTGAAAGGCCACGGTAAATTCTCAACACCAGTGTAAACGGATCTCTAACAGCCAAATGTACTCTCTTACTCTGACTTACTCTACATTTTCCCTTTGTGGTTGCTGTTTGCTTTCTTTACATCTTAAAGTCTGTTGACTCATACAGTAGCTGCTACTTCCGAAATACCAATGCCCAGTCTGCGCTTACACACATACAGTACATACTGATAATACACTAAACCTATCATATATAATGAAATGAATAAAAATAAAAACAAGTATAAAAGTGCATCTACATATTGGATGTGAAACAAATGATTAAAACAAACTCAACCCCATTATTGGCTCAAGGCTGAATAAACAGAGTGATGCATCCAACTCTGTTTGTACCTGCTTTGATCCACTTAAGAGTCCAAAATGCCATTCAAAACACACACACACACACACACACACACACTTATAGATTCCCAAGGTAACACCTAGCAGTAGTTGGACGGTGTAGTCTATGGGATTTCAAGATGGGATTTCAGGGTCTCCATTGATAAGAAGATTATGAACTGAAGAGACTTGAAGGTTAAACAAAGGTTAGATCGATAACACATCACTTAAAGAAAGAGCAAACAGGTTGCTGCAATGAGCCTTGAAGTCATGTCGTTCTGTCGAGAGGTAAATCCAAGTCAAGTGTTCAAATAGTTCAGCTGATAAACATCTTTAGTATGCAGGAGAAACGTGTAAAACAGGCTTCACTCCCGGCCTTCTCCCGTGAGCTGTAACAGGAAGCTGAAGAGGTAGATAATGTCCAGGTAGAGGCTGAGCGTGGCAAAGATGTATTCCTCTGGACTGATGGCGTAGCGCTTGTTTCCTAAGAGCATCTGAGTGTCGAACGCCAAGAACTGTGGCAGAGAAAGGCACAAATGGAGAAAACAAGCAGAGCAGGTGAGCACGAGGTAATCATTTGAAAACTTAGCTGGAAACTAAGACGGGGGGTAGGCTGCGTGATTCTCACCAGAGTAAAGAGGATGGCTCCTATTACAGCATAGGTGGCATGTAACCAAGGTACCTGTGAGATAAAATGCATTACAAAACACTTTTAAGAAGGCTAGCAGGGATGCTAATTTAAGCAAGACACAGTGCAAGATTATCTGAGGCTAATCCTTCTTCCATTAATGCAGTACCTGATGCATTAACCCAACTACTTTTGTTTAACTCATTAATTGCAGCTAATTTGGTTTCCTTCTGGAAGGATGTACGAGTTTAAACTCACGTATCCAAAAGGGACGACAACAGAGATGGCGATGGCACAGATGAGCATGACCATACACAAAGAAAACAGGACTCCCTGACAAGAGGTGACATCAATCTGCAAGAGAAGAAGAAGATGTGTCTTTTATTGTTTTGTTTTTTTTGTTCAAAGCAGTTTGAAGTTCTAGTTTGAAGCAGTTCGCACCTTGCTCTGGAAGCTGAAGATGGTGACAGAAAGACACACCAGAGCTGTGATTCCCAGGCACAGCACCACCGACTTGGTGTTGTAAAAGCTGGAGGAAGCACAAACATATACATTTTCTCTTTCAGCTTGAAAAGACACGGATGGTTCTTACATCCGCAGGTGTATTTACCTTGACAGAAATCCCATCATGAAGGCCATGCTCAGAGTCTGTAGGGAAAAGTTGATAAAAATAGCTTAGAGGCTGAGAGGCTGAGTGACAGCTTTATTATTGTATAAGGTTTGTATTTTACACTGCATGTTACTCACAAAGAGAACTAAAAGAATTATATTCCAAGGAAACTGCCTCCTGTTATGACAGAAAAGACAGTAGATTTGTTATTTATGCACACAGAGACACATTTTATAGAGTTTTTGCAAAAGAGCATCTTTTCAGTTGTTTCTTGAATTTTTAATAATAGTAATAACTTTATTTATAAAGCGTTTTCAAACAAAGTGCTGTACAACTAAAGGGATAAATAAAATAAAAGTGATACATAGCAATACAGGTAAGAGACACAATACAAGTTAAAAACAATAAAAATTTAAAAACTAAAAGCCATAGAATTAAGACATATAGGATAAGGTGAACAAATGTGTCTTCAACAACCACAGAGCATGCCTGCCGAATATCTTGAGGGAGGTTGTTCCACAGAAACGGGGCACAAAAATAAAAAGCACGCTCTCCAATAGTCTTTTTTCTGGCTCTAGGAACCTTTAGAAGGCCAGAGTCCTGAGATCGGAGAGCACGAGATGGAACATAAAGATGTAAAAGGTCGGAGAGGTATGAAGGTGCCAATCCGTTTAAAGCCTTGTAGGTGAGCAGCAGGACCTTAAAATCTGCTCGAACCTGACAAGGTAGCCAATGCAGAGATCTCAGAACAGGGGTAATGTGCTCAAATTTCCCAGTTCTTGTTAAAATGCGAGCAGCTGCATTTTGCACCATCTGTAGACCTCTAAAACTTTTCTTTGGTAGGCCAGAAAGAGCATTGCAATAATCAATACGGGAAGACGCGAATGCAGGGACAAGAACCTCTGCAGTGTCGCTTGACAAAACTTTTTTGATTCTGGCGATGTTCCTCAAATAATAAAAGGCGATCTTTGTTATCTCTTTTACATGAGATTCAAAGGAGAGCACCATGTCGAACCACACACCCAAGTTTTTTACCTTGTTCCTGCAATTTATGGCACTGTCATCAATTTTCAAGATGAAATTTTGGGACAAGTGCTGAAATGTGTGTGGCCCAATGACCATCAACTCTGTCTTATCCGTATTTAGGAGCAAGAAATTATCTGATAACCAGCCCTTAATTGCACATAAACAACATTCTAGTTTAGAGACTTCAGCACAATTTCCAATGGTTAAAGGAACATAGAGCTGCAGGTCATCAGCGTAACAATGACATTTTGTGCTGTTGATTTCTACAAAGACGGTTTACCTCAGGTCTCCACAGCAGGACAGTGCAATGTAGGTGGCAAAAAACATGAGACTAAAAGAAAAAAAAGATCAGAGACAATTTCAAAATGTACATGAAATTTATGTGAGTGTGATATGAGTTTTCATCTGTGTTGTTTTCGTTTTGTTTTTTTACTTACTAGGATGCCGAGTACAAGCCAGGATGAGTCTGAATAAAAAACCTCACTGGTTCACTGAAATCAAAACAGCAACCAAAAAGAAAGTAAACTGGTGCTTCATAGAATAAAGTAGAAAAAGCTTTATTAGAAAATGACAGTAAAGTTGAGCAAATAAATACAGACGTACTTACCAAAATGTGAAGAGACCAACAACGCCCACGGTCACAAACAGCTGAACCATGAGAATGGCGTAGACCTGCAGGTGGACAAACGCTGTGTCAGAGCGATGTGGCATTTTCTTTTATTAATTTATGTTTTCATGGGGTTTTGTTTGGGGTTTATTTTGCTTCCAGTACCTTCCTGATGAAAGTCCGCCGGATGGTCTTATCATCCCAGGCGAACTGGGCCTCCATCTCAGCATAGCCTGAAAAAAGGGTGGAGGCGTTTCAAAGCTGAACTTCATGACATCACATTGTAGCATTGCTCTGATTACCTACATCATTTTTAATAACTAAGTGCAATGTCATGAAAAGATTATTATTTGCATTTAAAATGAAGCTAAACAAAAACTAACATTATTTTTCATTCACATTGTTTCACTTGTTACCACGCAGCTTTGACTACTACAGGTCTAATCTAGAGGACAGCCAGTGTTCGCATATCTGTAACCAGCAGGATACTTTACTCACCTGCGGTTGCCTCTTGATAGCTGGGAGGCTCATTGTCATTGCTCACCTGCTGGTACGCAATCATAATTAGTATATGAATGAACAATAACTGCGTTTACAGCCACAGTACAGTGTTAGACACATGTGCCAGCTATTCTAAAGCTATTGCTTTATATGCACATTTAAATAAAAAACAAAATAGTACAGGAGATACTTTTCATTGCAGATCTGACTATAAAAGCCCCTAATGTTTGATTAACTCAAAGGATTATATACATAAACTGTATGTATGTATGTTCATAGACATACTGTTAAACTGTTTCTCTGACCTTGTTGGATTTTGATCGAGTTTGGAAGCTTTTTTAGAGCATACCTCTAAAAAAATTAATAATTCTAACAATCTTTCACAATAACACGTCTCATATGTAAACAAATCTGTCACTTTAATGAAGGCATTTTGTTACAGCTTTATTTTAAATCAGGAAAGATGAAAACATACCTTTCCCTTTTTCATGTTTTTCCCTTTTTTCGCCTTTATGGTTCTGATGAAGGAACACTCTTCTGAAATCCTTGGTAAAATGGGTTTGTTTGTTTATTTAATGATGTGAAGCTGTTAAATCCCAAATATGTACAGTTCCTAGGCTTCTTCTTTCGTTCGATGTCGCTTCTGTGGCTCCAAAAGCTGTTGTGAGTGGGGGAAAAAAAAGGTTGTTTGCGCAGTAGTTGTTGCTCTGATTTTGTCTGCAGTGTGCGGATTACACTGGAGCTTTATAGGCTGCCATGTAGTTAATCTCCCTCTAACCCTGATCCCACACCACCCCTGTCCCAGCCCTAAAGAGGTCGTTCTAGCAACGTCCAGGTAGGCCCATAACCCTCAGATCCCACCAGAGTGTGCCACTGCTGTTGCTTAACAGGGGGGGTGGGGGGACACAATTGTTCTGAACAGTATTCAGGGTCAATTACTCATAATTGTGCAAAGCAAGCAGAGGGATTTACATGTCTGAGCTACAGATGATATTACATTATTATTTTAATCCATTTTGAGGTATAAAAAATACAAAGAGGACAGTGCAGCAATGTTGATATGACAGAAAAATGTATTTTTAAAAATAACACATATTTACAGATTTATTGGAAAATTCAGATATATTATACCCTTCAAAAACTACCAATCAATTAATGTGGGTCCATCAGTCTGGTGACATCTTTGTCTGCGTGGGTGTAAAAGTACAGTAGGGTACAGTTGGAAGTAGCTTTTCTTTCTTTGCTTATTTTTAGCAAACAGGTTGGGTAAACAAATGACATCATGTTTTTATGTAAGACACTGCTTTAGTAACAGACACACATCACTAATTAGCATGGAGTTAAGAACATTATGGAGAATACCCTGAGATTTACCGGCAAGTGATCACCTCTAATCTGCTTTTACTCAGATGTATTGTACTGTTCCCCTCTTTAATAAGCACAGTTGTGTGGGTAATCATTTATACTTTATTAAAATGTTTATATTGATATTCAATATTTTCTCAAATGCACAACTGGAAGTTTGTTTCCAGCCACATACTAAACATCGTCAGTCAGTAGGATGAGATTACTTTGTCTCCCATAAGGAGGAAATCATCCAGGATCTAGAAAATGTTGCAACAACAAGTCCCTGAATGTGTACACTTTAAATAAATACAGATATTTATAAAAATAAATAGATAAATATTAAAATTTAAAAAACTGTTACCTCAAAGCCTCTCTACAATACTTTGAACTGCTCTTGGCAAGATTAACGTGCTTCCAAGAACTGGTTTTTGGTGTCTGCTTTGTGTAGATGTCATTCTGCCTGTAAACACAACAGCTCAGAAAGTTTTGAATGAATTCTGAGAACACTTTGTCGGGTGTAGAGGGGGTCATTTTGACAACCCATTAAAATCTGTCTTACACCAACGTTGCCATGGTCAACTTAATGATGCCTCTGTCATGGTCTGCGGTGGGTGGCTGGAATTTTCATAAGGCTCCTCAACTGACCTGGGATCCGCCCCTGGGCAGGGCCAACTCCAGCTCCTACACATCTGGAGCCTATTGCAGACAATCAAGCCAGAGGGATTTAAACCACACGTTGATGTTCATTCACTGCCAGTTCGTCATCAACACATGTTGGTAACAGGCCTTATACTTCAAGTTCTTGCTGTGATCTATCTTGTTAACATGACTCTCTTGTGCTGCGGTTGCTGTATTCACCTTGGCTCACGCTCCACCTCTGAACTCAAGATACCAAGCAATCCTTCTGAAAATCTCTCTGTGCCTCACCTGCCTGCCCTCCTGCCATCACACTCCATCTGAAGCCCCGGATCTCAGACCAGCCTTTCCACGCCACTCAGCCTCCCCTGGATTCTCATCACCCCCCTCTCAACACTCCATGTCCCCTACTGCAAGTAAGAATTGCTACTCTTACAACTGGCCACTTCAGAGCTGCCTCCACTACCTCCCTAACTCCTCTATCTTCTCTCTTCAGTGTGACTGTTCCCTGCTCAGCTCCACTCCGCATCTCAGGCCTCATTCCCTCGCCCTAGCCACGTTCCCCAGGCCACGCCTCGTCAAACTCCACGTCTTATTGGGGTTTTTTTTGTCTTTGCTACGTTTTCTTTTTTGCACTTAAGCCTAATAAATTGTTACATCATCTGCTGTCTCTGCTCTGGGTTTCTGCACCTGAGTCCTGTTCAGTACAGGCCACTCAGCCCCGTGACAGCCTCATAGCTTAGAAAGTATCATTCTTAGAAGTGTGTTGTCAACATATAGAAAGTGCTATTTAAAGATTTAAGATATCATGTCACATTTGACCTCTGACCTCTCCTTCAAGATCAATAAGGAGCCAGACAAAATTAACCCTAGTAAATATAACATGCACTTTTTCAATGGTGATTTCATTTTTAAAAATTATCCAAACCAGTGATCCTGTGTGGAAAAAGTAATTTCTCCCTAAACTTAATATCTGTTTGTTATTAAGACATGTGGCAGTAAGAACTCTTCTTTACAGAACTGTTTTATTTCAGCAACATTAAATCTTTTTCAAGCATGAACGAAGTGTTCAAGGTCTTACAAAGCATTTCTATCAGGTTTGAGTCGGGCCTTTGACCAGGCCGCTTCTGTTCTGTTCATCTTGACAGAGAACAGAAAGCAGAAAACATCTAAAGAAGAGCTTTAAATGTTGTCCAAGAAGCCCACGGGATTATTCCTGAAGACTACCTATTTTAGAAAGCTTGTCTAAGAGACTTCAGGCTGTGTGAATAAATTGTGAATAAAAACGGACCTAAAATATTGACTTTCAAGCTCATTAGTACTTTGCTAACTCTGTTTTTGTCTTATATACTAAATGTCCATGCATTTCTGCATTTGTTTCAATATATGACAGCATCACCTTCCCATTTTCTTAGCAAAAGTAGTTAGGGGTAAATGAAGACCTATGCAAAGCAGTGTGTCATGTCACATTAAGGTAAAACTTGTTTTGTCAGGACATGTGTTATTCAGTTTCAGATTACGCATCTGTTTTATTGGACTCCCTCCAGACTCTTGAGACTTGCGCCAAGGCCTACTGCAAACTGTTGGAGACGCAAGTTTAAACAAAGAAATTGAATTCATGTTTATGGTCATGTGATTAAGGTGAGTTCTGGGGAAAGATTTCTAAAATTCTGATTGTTTGTTTTGGGAGACGAGTCAAACTGGACAGGTGATGGCAAACACATGCAGGCTGGTGGGCTGCTCTGCTGCTGCGTGGACAAAGTCGGTCTGTTGTCTCCACCCTAGAGGAAAGCGGACCATCTTGTCTGGAGTCTGGAGGTTGATTGCCCCTCTGGGGGTGTAGGTGCCGGCACCAGGGAGTATAGTGTGTGTATGGGGAGCGTGAGTGTGTCTTCATGTTCGGAAAGTGTGAGCGTGAGGGTGAGAATGCATGTTTGTGTC